GACTCAAATTGAGGAGAAACAGCTGCAAACATCCATTAATAATCGGAACATGGAATGTACAAAATATAAATCTAGGAAAATTGGAAGTTGTCAAAAATAAAATAGAATGTATAAAAACTTATATCCTAGGCATCAGTGAGCTGAAGTGGACCAGTTTTGGCCAATTTGAATCAGAAAACCTTATGACCTACTATGCCAGGAATGACAAATTGAAGACAAATGGCATGGCATTCATCATCACAAAGGATATTTCAAGATCAGTCCTGAAGTACAATGCTGTCACTGATAGGATAATATCCATATGTCTACAAAGAAAACAAGTTAATACCAACTATTATTCAAATTTATGCACCAAACACCAATGCAAAAGATGAGGAAATTGAAGATTTTTATCAACTTCTGCAGTCTGAAATCAACCAAACATGCAATCAAGATGTGTTAATTATCACTGGTAACTGGAATGCAAAAGTTGGAAACAAAGAAGAATCACTAGTAGTTGGAAAATTTGGCTTTGGTGACAGAATTTTTCAAGACCAATTACTGATTCATTGCAAATACCTGTTTTCAACAACACAAACAGCAGCTATACATATACACTTCACCAGATGGAATACACAGGGATCAGAATGACTACATCTGTGCCAAGAGGCGATGGAAAAGCTCAGTATCTTCAGCCAAAACAAGGTCAGGAGCTGATTGCAGAACAGACTATCAACTGCTCATAAGCAAGTTCAACTTGAAGTTGAAAACAATTAAAACAAGTCCACAAGAGGCAAAATATGATCTTGAATACATTTCTCTTGAATTTAGAGACCATCTAAAGAATAGATTTGATGCACTGAACATCAATGACTGAAAATCAGAACTGTGGGATGATATCAAGAGCATCATCCATGAAGAAAGAAGTCATTTAAAAGACAAGAAAAAACAAAAGACTAAAATAGATGACAGAAGCGACTGTGAAGCTTGCCTTTGAGTGGAGAGTAGCCAAAGCAAATGGAAGAACTGACAAGATAAAAGAGCTGAACAGAAGATTTCAAAGAGTAGCTCAAGCAGACAAAGCTATAATGAAATGTGCAGACTTGGAGTTAGAAAACCTAAAGGGAAGAACACACTCAGCATTTCTCAACCTGAAAGAACTGAGGAAAAATTTAAGCCTCAAGTTGCAATATTGAAAGATTCTATGGACAAAATATTGAATCATGCAGGAAACATCAAAAGAAGATGGAAGGGATATGCAGAGTCACTGTTACCAAAAAGAACTGGTTGATCTTCATCCATTTCAGGAAGTGGTATATGATCAAGAACCAATGGTATTGAAGGAAGAAGTCAAAGCTGCACTGAAGGAACTGCCGATGCACTGAAGGAACTGCCGAAGACTCCAGGAATTGACAGAATACCCATTGAGATGTTTCAAGAGATGAATGCCCCAATGGAGGGACTCACTCAGTTATGCCAAGAGATTTGGAAGACAGCTACCTGGCCAACTGACTGGACGAGACCCATATTTGTACCCATTCCAAAGAAAGGTGATCCCGCAGAATGTGGAATTATCGAACAATATCATTAATATCACACACAAGTAAATCTTACTGAAGATAATTCAAAAAGGGTTGCAGCAGTATATTGACAGAGAACTTCCAGAGGTGCATGCCGGATTCAGAAGAGGACCTGGAACAAGGGATAGCTGCAGATGTCAGATGGGTCTTGGCTCAAAGCAGAGAATACCAGAAAGATGTTTACTTGTGTTTCATTGACTATGCAAAAGCATTTGATTGTGGATATAACAAACTGTGGATAACACTGAAAAGAATGGGAATTCTAGAACACTTAACTGTACTCATGAGGAAACTGTACATAGACCAGGAAGCTATTGTTCGAACAGGACAAGGGGACACTGCATGGTTTAACATCAAGAAGGAAGTGCGTCAGGGTTGGTGAGACTTAGAACAGGGTTGTATCCTTTCACCATACTTATTCAATCTATATGATGAGCAAATAATCTGAGAAGCTGGACTATATGAAGAAGAAGGTGGCCTCAAGATTGGAGGGAGAATCATTAACAACCTGCAATACCACTGATGACCCAACTTTGCTTGCTGAAAGTGAGGATGACTTGAGGCACTTACTGATGAAGACTGAAGAATACAGTCTGCAGTATGGATTACATCTCAATATAAAGAAAATAAAAATCCTCACACAACTGGACCTATAAGCATCACGAGAAATGGAGAAAAGTTTGAAGTTGTCAGAGACTTCACATTGCTTAATTCTATAGTCAACACCAATGGAAGCAGCGGTCAGGATATCCATAAAGATTTACTGCCTTGGAAACCCAACGGGGGTTGCTATGAGTCAGAATTGACTTGATGGCAGTGAGTCTGGTTTCTGGAGTTTTTCCTTCTTACTAGGAGCTCTGGTACTATAGTGGTTAAGGCATCTGACTGCTAACCAGGTTGGCAGTTCAAACCCACCAGCCACCCAGTGGAAAAAAGATGAGATAGTCTGCTTCTATAAATATTTACAGCCTTGGAAACCCAATGGGGGTTGTTCTAAGTCAGAATCAACTTGATGGCAGTGAGTTTTTTGGATCCATCTTATAAGGCGCTCTAATGGCAAAGTGATTAAGGCATTTGGTGGCTATGAATAGTTCAACAGTTGAACCTACTAGCCACTCCAAGGGAGAAAGATGACGTAGTCTGCTTCTATAAAGATTTACAGCTTTGGAAACTCTATAGGGCAGTTCTGTTCTGTCCCATAAGGTCACTACGAGTCCATATCGACTCAATGGCAGTGGGTTTATCCATCTTCTGTATCTCTTTCCAAATTTTAGACCAAGATGCCAAGTAACTGGAGTATCTTGTTGTTCAATCTCAAGCTTTATCAAGTCACATTTCCCTGGATGTTCATCTGAAAGGGAATCCCCAAGAATTTCCTCCTATGCACTCTTCCCACCAGTAGTCCATACTCATCCTTCCATCCTTTAAAAAGGCACAGGACTTGTCCAGACACGATTCAATATTTTTATTGTTTGACAGGCATTTACAACGTTCCATTCATAGACCTAAAAACATAAAAATAGACCTTCTTTCAGCTTATAAAAGAAATATATAAGAACTTTGGACATAGACACGTCATGACCTATGTACAAGAGACAATGGTACCCTCTCCAAGCACCAGACTTTGCAGTATTTTCAAACGGCCCCGTTGCACTGGGACTAGTACACGCGATGTGAGAAGCCTCTGTTTCCGTTTCCCATCCGGACACAATTGAACTGGAGATGATATGGAACAATGCAGTGATACAAAGGGTATAGAAACCATTCTAAAGCTTTTAGGAAAACCAGAAGATATAGCAAAATTGTAATAGAATAAAACTTTCAAAAGATCAAGCTCAAAGCCCTGAAGACCCAAAAGGGGAAGGGGAGAGAGCAGGGAAGCAGGTCAAGCAAGCAGGAGCAAAGAGCGTGATGTTCTGAACTCTCTATTATCTGGAAATATAAAGTCGTAACTGATTTTTATAAAATATAATTCCTAAAGCTACTATAAAATTCAGGTCTGTAAAGTACCTACTGATGTGTCAAACACCAAATAGATATTTTCCCCAAAAAGAAAGTTTTCATATTATTTAAACCCTTCTTAGGAAGTGGACATTGTGAAATGAGCAGAGAAAAAAAGCTATAAACATTTTTTTTTAAATTCAATTAAAAAAAAATGGAAAGTGCTATAACTTGTTTTTGTTCTTCCTAATTGGCAATCTCTTTAGAACTCAAGAGTCTTGGTATGTTTACCCTGTTTTGTTGGCATGAAGAAAGTGTTAAGCATAAGAGATGTCTTTGAAGAGGTTGTTTTGCTAAGAGGTTGGGGACTGGACTCTCAAGGAAGGGGGGTGGATCATCTATGGATGAAGATGCAGTTTTGATGGGAAAACCAATGACCGTCATGGCAACCCCACAACAAGGAGGCTCCCCCGCCACCACCACCATGTGCAACAGACACATACACTGCCCATTCTGTGTCCTGTTTAATCCAACCAAAATCCCACCTCAAATATAGATTTAGACATTAAAAAAAAAAAAAATTCTTGAGAAAAAAAGTGAACCCTAAGCATGAGTTTCTTGTGGCCTTTCATATATAAATATAAAATCACCGTGCCTCACTCTCTCTGTAAAAGATTATATCCTCATTTCCCCCCCTAACTTAGAGTTACATGAACACTGTAAAATTCTCATCTGTTTGTGCCCCTGCATCTCAGGTAAAATACAAAAAATAGGTTTCTTTTTTCTTTCTCTTTTTCAAGTCATAAATTTGGACCTCTTTGCTAAGAGTTTGGCATCTTTACAATTCTATGCAAAAGTAGAGCTTCCAAACACTGACACTGAATAAGACCAGCCATAGACCAAAACAGGAAAAAACAGGAAAAAAAAAAAAAGTCTCATCAAAACATAAATCTCCACCCTCTCCTCACACATCCCTAAAATACACAGATATTCTCAGACACTTAAGAGGGAAAGGAGTAGGAACACTGCAAATTGGGCAGTGGTTTAATTTCACTGAAGGTTTGAAGCTGGACTCCCCACCTAGCAGATGGCTCTGATTGGTTTCAGATACACAGCCATTGTTTATTTTTTTGTGCTACTCCTTGAACTCATCTGCTGTACATACTCTGGGGGATGGGGGTAGGGGATGGGGGGTGTTTCTTTCCAGTGCTACAGAAATCTTTTTTTCTTTTAATTCTTTAGGCCCTGATTCATTGAGAATAAATAAAAGCCCTTGGTAACATACAGAAGGTAGGACTCAAGTGTATTTAGAATTTGGAACCATTCTCTCTGATGCTGTTGTTAGACATGGCAAAGTCGGGTGGCTACATGGCTTCAGAGCAAGTCAGCTGCCCCAACCGTGTGTGCAAGAGTGCGTTCTAAGGGGATATTCTCCTGGACAGCACAGGAGGGTAGGCTGAGGGAGGGCGGGCAGGAGAAGTATCTACACACTCTCTCTCACAGGAACATGGCACAGTCATATTTCAGTGTTCAGTTTCCTGGAGGGGGCAAAGTCTTCACGCCTAACCCAAATGACCTCCTCGCTTGTGCTCTCCAGGCCCCCGTTGATGCCTGACAGCGCAGCTTGCTTCTTGAGCTGTGTCATCCGGGATGCATGACTGTCCAGAGTTTTCCGGCCCCCTTCCCGCTGACTGATGGAGGTGGCCTGAAGCCGTTCCTGCAGGTCTCTGTCCACTGAGGCGCCCTTTGCCGACTCACAGAACTCATCATCGTCACTGAGGATGTCTGTCTCCTTGATGTCATCCTGCTCCTCGTACTGAGCAAGATCAAACTGTTCCTCAACCCAGCGGTCAGTGTCCCCACCACCAGGCGGCTGCTGGGACTCTCTCTCCGGGCTGCTGGCGGAGACGGCATCGGAATCAATGGTAAACCTGTTTCGAGCCAGTCGCCGCCTCCTCCTCCCAAGAGACTTGCTTGGGGCAGACACTGCACACACACACAAAAATATAAAAATAAAACCCCCACATGCTTTATGTGAGATGGAAATCCAGAAAACAAATAAAGTAAAAGGAAAGCAAAAACTAAACGGTATGCATCTTGTAGGAGCTCTGGTAGCATAGTGCCTAAGGCACTTGACTGCTAACCAGAAGGCTGGCAGTTCAAACCCACCAGCCACTCCTCAAAAGGAAGGTTGGGCAATCTACTTCTGTAGTGATACTGCCTCGATAACGAGGAGGGGTCGCTATGAGTCAGGACCGACTCGATGGCACATAACAACAATAACATGCGTTTTTTGTGCCTTGTTCGCAGATTTCATCAGTTCATGTTCAAGTCATGGGCAAGTCTTTACATAGCACATCAGATGTTAGTGTATGTTCTTTCAACTGACTGAAGGAGAAGGGACACGGGAAAAGTTGTAGGTTACAGGAAAAAGAGGATTCAACTCCCTCTGAAAGAACCTTCTAGTGCTCTAACCTGTATACCTGGGAGACAGGTAACAGAATCCTGCTCTCTCAGTAGACCCCTTACCTAGGGATTAGTTAGTAAGCTGGCATTCTCAGCCCTGAACATCTGCTATGGCACCATGCTCTGAAGATGCCCAGGGCTTTGTTGGGCACATCCAGCTGGGATAGCTCCCTAACTAGGAGTAGGGCATGCTTCAAGGGTTTCACTCTCCTTGTAAAAACCACCATGATGTATCAAATAGGCAAAAGCACTAATGCAAATTATGCTGCTTTCTAGGAGATTAAACGCAACGTTTCTTGAGAATTTGCTGTTAAATTAAGGCACAATACTCCTCTGAGTCAACAGAAGAGAGCCGCTCTCAGTGATACCAAGCTTCTGCTTATTTCCCTGCTCTCCTTCTGACAAAGTCCCCTGGGAACTGTAAGGTGAAGCCAATGTGAGCCTTAGGCTCTCCCTGACTGTGCCCTGTGTACTGCCAATTTCTTTTCAACAGAGCAATTAAAATATCAGTGAGTGGGTAAAATGGGAAATAAACAGCATATGCCAGCCAAGCACTTGATAACCAAGTACTATATAAAGTGACTAAAAGTTAAGAATAATAAGCACATCTTTGATCCTCTAGGAAGCCAGAACTATTAAAAACAAATTAAAAAAAAAAAAAAACCCACATGATCAAGCAAACAAATAAACAAGTCCACACCACACACACATACACAAAAGACGGCCCACACAGAACACCTGTGGCTTCTTCCTCATTGGGGAATTGGCTGTTCCATTAGACAGAGAAGATAAAATGCAATATGGCATTCAAAGAGAAGGGAACAGCCCAAAGGAAAAATTGCTTTCTTGAAACCTAAGCCTAAAAACCATCAAATTGTTTCAGTGCCACTAGAAGTAAGATGACTATCATTGATTACTATAGCCTTGACTTCAGTCACAGTGGGCACAAGGTCAGGGAGCTGGGCAGTGGCCTAAATTTGCCCCCATTCAGTCATCCTCTGCCTGAGAGACCCCTATACTCCCATGGGCATTCCAGAACATTCCATTATCTTAAACTATGGAACAAATGGGTACCACTCTGCTATGAGAAGGGAAATGAAAGCCATTCTCAGGAAGGAGGAGAAAAAACTCTATTCCACTGAAAAGAAAAACTTCCTAATTTATCTCAACACCACCACAGTGGAGCCTGAGTCTTCTCTCCTATCACCATTTAGATCTACCTCCAATCAAAAATGGGTGACTGGAAACATGTATTAATGCTGAAGTATTTAGGGGTGAAGTGTGCTAATGTCTGCAACTTTAAAACGTGTCAAAAACCAAGATGAACAGATGGATGGACAGATATGTGATAATGAAAACAGAGAAAAATGTTAATTACAGAACATAAGTGGTAGGTATGTTTACTGTACAATTCTTTCAACTGTTCTGTGTCTGAACTGTTTCATAAGAAAATATTGGAACAAATATATATAAAATATAGAACAAATGGATACCAATTTTTTTTTTTTAATTTAGGTTATTGGCAGATGTCCAGTCTTTGGAGATTTAGGATTAAACCAGGGTATCTAGCTTTACTATCCTATCCAAACAGAGCAGAAAGAGAAATGAACCACCTGGATGCTCATGGCAATGAAAAATGAAGTATGGGTATCTCTCAGTGATTAAAAGGATGCTTAACAACTCAGCCAATCTGATTGGGATTCTCCCAGTCTATCAGGGAGACAAACACTGATTTGAGTATTTCCAGTGTCCACTGCTAAGAAAGGCTGGCTAGGGCTGTACCAATCCACTTGAGCACCATTTTCTAAAACCATGTAACATAAGATCCTGATGACAGTGTGGGAATGAAAAAAAGGAGAGGGATAAATATTTTCTTCAGCCAAAAATGAGCCATCAGGTAGATAGTCCTTCCATCAGCCAAATCCAACAGACTATGACATGAAGGCATTCTCTTTATATTCATGATGATGGTATAGGCTGTGGCTTGGTTTGGTGCTCTTTAATTTAGGGGTCCAAAGGAGTCTCACCAGGAAAACTCTGGAGTATCCTACAGACTAAAAGTACCTACTTTCTAAGTAACTATAGCTCTAAATCTGAGTTCATTGATTAGCAACTGAAACCTAGCCAGTGGTGGGCTAGGTTCCCTGAGGTGGGATATACAGTCCCAGTCCTTATTAAATATGCCCCGGCAAATTAAAGGAGCAATTGAGATAATTCCAAGATGAAATTCTCTAGAGTGAGATATAAAAGGATATGTGAACCCTTCTTCTACAGGGAATCTGTGACACACTATGGGCAGGGAGGTGAGATTCTCAGCATACCTTGGAGAGCCCAGCAGAGCACTGGGCATTTATCAGACTAGCTTCAATAAATAGTTATCAATTGACTGAAGAGCAGATTTATGATAACTAACCCCTTACTGTTAACTAAATCTAAGGTGCTTAAAGAACGCATTAATCTCATATCAACACTACATAGGTTATAGCCATAAAAACCTTCCACCACTCACAGTTCCATCTATGCCTCTTCAATGCAATGGAAAACAGGGGGGAAGACAACTGGGACAAAGGTCTAAGACCGTTTTGGCAAATGAAAAGGAAGCCTCTTTCATTAGAATCCTTCCTGCAAAACTCCAGGCTGCCTCTTAAGAAAGAAGTTACAAAAATGTTGACACCTTCTTGTTTGTTTAGTTATTTTGGTACAAACATGAGCTGGCACTCATTTAATAAAGAAATGAATTTCCTTGGTTTCCCCCCCTCCCGGTCCAATAGGAATTAAATCTCTGCTGACTTGGTTGAAACACAATAAAAATGTTGACACCTTGATGTCCTTAAGTACATGAGTATTATGAAAAGATCTTTCTCCCCAGAAATATTTTATTGTCACATGCAGGTGATCATTCTGACCACCTTCCTTCCTCACTGGTCCATAGTGATAAGTCCTAAGAGAATGTTTACTCTGGGACCATTTACCCCCTGGATTTCTCTTTTCCAACAGCAGCTCAAGGCTTCCACACATTAACAGTGAGACTAAGAATAAAGTTGCAGGCACAAGGCCGGGTAAAAATCTGATGCATCACCTGACTCCGCACACCTGGAATCCTTACTGAGAACGGGCCTTGCTGTGCTGCTTTTGGGTGACAAAGGCACCCTGATCTCAGAACAGCAGGCCATGACCCTGCTGAAACATGACACACTGCTTTTTGCTAGACAAAGCTGGCTGTCATGCAAAGCAGCGACTCTCATTCTGCAGGCAGCCTGGGACAGTCCCTCTAGAAAGAGGATACCCAGGCTTCCTGGCTTGGTGAATGAGACAGGAACTCAACAGCCACAGGGAGGAGGGCAGCAAAGGGAAGGCTTCAGGGAAGGCAGGAGGCATCACCGCAGGGCAGATTCCCAGGGAGCCATCAGGATCAAGATCAGAGGCAAAGGCAAGGACCCTCACACCGGGAAAAAACCCTATTCCAACATGAGCCCCCACAAAGCCACACCTAACTGTTGCTCAGCAAGGAAGTCAAGCTCACTGAGCCCTACAGCGGAGTGGGGGTGACGGGGATCTTGAACGTCTGAATCCCCACAGTACCTGCCCTGCTCATGGCTGGCCTCGCCCCTTTCAGCGCACACAACCTCTTTCCTCCAAAAGGGACATACTGCTGGGATGAGGGAAGGCTTTCGGTTTTGAGGAGCTGTCTTCTGTGCTTATCACGCAGGATTGAATGCACAGCCTTCAGGAAATCCTTCCGGCTCTCAGGAGAGCTGTGAAAACAAGATTTATACATGTTAGGGAAGTGGCACTTAACACACTGGCTATTTTTAATGTTATCAGATGCAGTCAAACAAGTATCATGCAAGACAAAAGGCTAAAGATTGAGCCCACAACTTCCATTTCTGTGCTGAGGGATGTTTGCTTAACTGGGAATGAAGAACACACACTCCCTTCCTCTTGATGATTTGTGATTCATCTCCTGCAGTCAGTTTGGGGCAGAGCAGTCCACTAATGATGGAGTCCCTGAATGGCACAAATGGGTAAGAACTCAACTACTAACCAAAAGGTTGGTGGTTCAAACCCATCCACAGGTGCCTCGCAAGACAGGGATAACACTCTGCTTCTGAAAGGTCACGGCCTTCAAAATCCTACCAAGTAGTTCTACTCTCTACACATGGGGTCCCGTGACACAGAACCAACTTGATGACAACTAGCAGTAACAATAACAACAGTCGACTAATGAACAGACAGACGGATTTTGCACCCAGAAGTTGAATTTTCTGCCTATAGCACTTAAGACAGATTTTCATTCTAAAAATGTTTTTGAGGACAAAATGAATCACCAGATCCTGGCAGTTCTACACAGTTCTCCATTACTGATGTCCCTGTGTCCTCGGTTTCCTCTTGAGTGTGAGTCCTGTTAAATACAGACTCCCCTGACATATCCTAACACACAAATATTAAAGCTACATTGCTAAGAACTGTAAAATCTTCCCAAGTCCTAATGCTCAAGGTAAAAAAGTACTTCCCAGGTAAGAGTTGGTAGGGATGGTGGTGGTGGTTTAGTGGTAGAATTCTCACTTCCCACGTCAGAGACCCGGGTTTGATTCCCAGCCCATGCACCTCATGTGCAGCTACCACTCATCTGTCAGTGGAGGCTTGCATGTTGCTATGATGCTGAACAAGTTTCAGTGAAGCTTCTAGACTTAGACTAGGAAAAAAGGCCTGGTGATCTACCTCTACAAATCAGCCAATGAAAACCCATGGATCACAACTTTCCCATTGTGCATGGGGTTATCATGCTTTGGGAGACTACTCTATGAAAACGAACAACACGCAAGCATTACTTTTCCTATTAAGTTCTCAATATTTTTACCTAGGTAGATTTCAAGAGGGAGCTCTGGTGGCAGAGTGCCTAAGGCATTTGACTGCTAACCAGAAGGCTGGTGGTTCAAATTCACCAGTCACTCCTCAGAAAGAAGGTTGGGCAATCTACTTCCATAGTGATACTGCCTTGGAAACCCAAGGATGGGTCACTATCATTCTCCCTTTCTAGGGGTGGGGTCCCTGGACACATGACATAACCGAAATGATCACCAGGGAATTAGCTTAAATAGATGGTAAAAGATGTAGCTCAATCTGCATGTGGATTATCTGAGGAAATTTTCAATTCTCATCCTCGTGACTTGCTGAGGATTCTGCTGCCTCCCCATTTTCTAGACATGTCACCCAACACAGAAATGTGGTTAGAAACAAAGCATGGACTTTGAAATTAATCCCACCAATTGTAACCCAATGTCCATCTACTGTAAAACCTTAAGCAAAGGAGTCTAGGACCCTTAGATCCCCATTTGTACAATGGGAATAAGAAATGAAATAATGCATGCAAAGTGTTTTAGCACTGGATACGCTTAGTAAATGTGTCCTCTCTTTGCAATACCACTATAAAATATTGATAATAATCACAATATTGACGCTTTTTAATTTTGGGGACAATAGCATACTACTACCCAGTGTGTAAGGAGCTCTGGTGGTGTAGTGCCTAAGACATTTGACTGCTAACCAGAAGGCTGGCAGTTCAAACCCATCAGCCACTCTTCGGAAGGAAGATTAGGCAATTGATATCCATAGAGATACCACCTTGGAAACCCAAGAAGGGGTCACTATGAGTCAGAACCAACTCAACAGCAGTGAGCTTGGTTTTTCTGGGGGCCCAGTGTGGGGATTTCAAGTAAACACAGTGAGTAGATGACTGAGTGTCTATGTATTTTGATATATCAGACAGTGTTTCATTGCTATTCATGACGTTTTCAGTGGTCATTTTTTCAGATGTGGATGGCCCTGTCCTTCTTCCCAGTCTTTCTTAGTATGGATTGTTGTTGTTCTGTGCCTTCGAGTCGGACCCGACTCATAGAGACCCCTCCTTGGGTTTCCGAGGCAGTATCACTACTGAAGTAGAAGCTCCACTGAAACTTGACCACCATGAGTGAGCCTGCTGGTATTTGAAATACCAGTGGCATAGCATCCAGCTTCATAGCAACTTGCCAGCCACCACAATATGACAAACTGTCAGAGTGATGGTGACATCTTAGCTGATGTCTGATGGATCTTCTCTGAAAGCAAAGAATACCAGAAAGACATTTACCTGTGTTATGTATTGACTTTGCAAAATATTTGACTATGTGGATAACAGTGCAAAGAATGGGAATTCCAGAACACTTAATTGTGCTCATGAGGAATTTGTACATAGATCAAAAGGCTGTCATTTGAACAGAAAAAAGGGATACTGCATGGTTTAAAATGAGGTAGGTTGTGTGTCAGGGTTGTGTACTTTCACCATACTTGTTCAACCTGTACGCTGAGAAAATAATCTGAGAAGTTGGACTATATGAAAAACACCACAGCATCAGGATTAGAGGAAGGCTCATTAACAACCTGTGATATGCAGATGACACAACCTTGCTTGCTGAAGCTGAAGATGACTTGAAGCACTTACTGGTGAAATCCAAGACTGCAGTCTTTAGTATGGACTATTCTTCAACACAAAGAAAATGAAATCCTCACATCTGGGCTAATAAGCAGCATTTCAATAAATGGAGAAAAGAATGAAGTTGTCAAAGATGTCATTTTACTTGGCTCCACAATCAACACCCATGGAAGCTGTTGTTGTTGTTGTTATGTGCCGTCGAGTTGGACCTGACTCATAGCAACCCCTCCTTGGGTTTCCGAGGCAGTATCACTATGGAAGTAGATTGCCCCATCTTCCTTCCGAGGAGTGGCTGGTGGGTTTGAACCACCAGCCTTCTGGTTAGCAGTCAAGTGCCTTAGGCACTATGCTACCAGAGCTCCCAAAACAGACCTCCCAACTGACTGGATTGGACTCCTGTGAGCCCTCCTTGGGTTTCCAAGGAGAGCTGAGTGGAGAAAGAGATGGCCTGCTCTACGGGGCGGGGAGCGGCTGGTGGGTTTGAACCACCAGCCCTGCACTTGGCAGGCGACTGCCTTAGGCCCGAGGCCATCCTCTAGGGCCCCCATGGAAGCAGTAGCCAAGAAATCAGATGTCATACTGCACTGGGCAAATCTGCTGCAAAAGACTTCTTTACAATGTTTAAGACTAAGGTGCACCTAACCCAAGCCATGGTATTTTCCAATCACTTCATATGCATGTGAAAGCTGGACAATGAATAAGGAAGACTGATGCATTTGAATTGAGGTGCTGGTGAAGAATACTGAAAATACCATGGACTGCCAGAAGAACGAACAAATCTGTCCTGAAAGCAGTGCGACTGAAATGCCCTTAGAAGCGAAAATGGCCGGACTTCATGTTATGTACTTTGGCCATGTTGTTGTAAGTGACCAGTCCTTGAAGAAGGATATCATGCTTGGAAAGTATAGGGTCAGTGAGAAAGGGGAAGCCCTTCAACGAGATGGACTGACACAGTGGCAGCAACTATGGGCTCAAACACACATAGCAAGGATTGGGAGGATGGCACAGGACTGAGCAATGTTTCATTCTGTTGCACATGGAGTCACTACAACTTGGAGCCAACTTGACAGCACCTAACAATAACAATAATGTATATTTTGATATTGAGCCAATTAAAGCATGATTGAATATATATCATATTTAAAGCCAAATACATAGAATGCTTGCTACTAACTATCCATCTCAGTATCTTTAGGCCAAAACAAAACATAAAAGAAAGAGAATTGGCTGTGTCATAGTTTGCTAGGGCTGCTAACAAAAAATACCACAAGTGGGTGGCTTTAACAAACAGAAAATTATTTTGTCACAGTTTAGAAGCTAAAAGTCTAAATTCAGGGCATCAGCTCTAGTGGAAAGATCTCTCACTGTCAGCTCTGGGGGAAGATCTCCTTATTTCTATAACCCCAATGTCCCTCAGTTCTTGGTGATTTCTACCTGGCTCTGGTAGCATAGTGCCTAAGGCACTTGACTGCTAACCAGAAGGCTGGCGGTTCAAACCACCAGCCACTCCTCGGAAGGAAGATGGGGCAATCTACTTCCATAGTGATACTGCCTCAGAAACCCAAGGAGGGGTCGCTATGAGTGGGTCTGACTCGACGGCACATAACACCACCACCACCACCTGACATCTGTCCTTCACCTCATTTGTGCTTGCTTGTCTGTCTAATCTGCTGTTTTTATAACTCAAGTGATTAGGTTTAAGACACACCCTCACTAATATGGCCTCACTGATGATACAAAAGACCCCTTTAAAGTGTTGAAAGGCAAACAGGTCGCTTGGAGGATTAAGTTGCACCTTGGATCCAAGCCATAGTATTTTCAATCACCTCATATGCATGTGAAAGCTGGACAATGAGTAAGGAAGACCAAAGAAATACTGATTGATGTTTTTGAATTATGGTGTTGGGGAAGAATATTGAATATACCATGAACTACCAGAAGAACAAAGAAATGTGTCTTGGAAGAAGTACTGTCAGAAAGCTCCTTAGAAGTGAAGATGATGAGACTTTGTCTCACATATTTTGGACATGTTATCACCAGAGCCCAGTCCTTGGAAAAGAACATCACGTTTGGTAAAGCAGAGGATCAGTGAAAAAGAGGAAGCCCCTCAATGAGATGAATTGACACAGTGGCTGCAACCATGGGCTCAAATATAGCAACAATTATGAGGAGGGCACAGGACCATGCAGTGTTTTGTTCTATTATACACAGGGTCACTGTGAGTCAGAATCAACTTGAGGGCACCAAACAACAACAACAGCATCAACAACAAACGTAACAAAGAAAACCATTATTTCCAAGTGGGAATATATCCCCAGGTATAGGATAGGACTTCAAGCCATATTTTGAGGACTTAGTTCAATCTGTAACAGGCTGTATATGGAGAAAGGTCCCAGATGATCATAGAACTAGAAGATACTACAAGTTCAGCTTCCACCCTGATCCTGAACAGTTTATGCCAACCTCCCAATGCTGCAGTTTCTCTAATGATGAAGAATTCTGGTGAGACCTGCACTCTCTCACTGCCTCCCACCTGATTTGCTTCCCATCTCAGAGATGCTACAGTATGAACAATGTATCCACATATCAAAACACACTATGACGTAATGACCACATCCTTCTAATTTATCAAAGGGGAAGAAAGTCCTCTTTTGTATGTTCAATTTGAAAATTCAGGTTTTCCTTCAAAAAAATTATTAAATTAACCAGATTGCTGTTCATATTCTAGGAAAACTAGTTTAACTTCTCCAGTTACTGCAGCTTCATAAGTATGAAATAATTTCTCCACTGTTCAAGATAAAGCATGTAGCATCCAGGGAGGCAGAGGCTGGTTTGCAGAGCACAGATGGGCTTGGAGAACCCTGAGCACAGTTACCTGCCTTCCCTCTGAGCTGCACTGTCGACTTCCCATCAGCAGACTCACCTGCAGCACAGGTGGAAGACCCTCTCTGGCCTCCCTTCAGACTCTGATTTTACATGGACAATTTCACACACAGCATTTGCATCTGCATCTAGACAAATTAAAACAAAAATGAATTAAGGCACATTTGAAACCGACTTATCTGCATTTTCACAAAAGTATTTCCCATACTCTGCTATATGACAAACAGTGCAGAGCAGCATAAGGCCAGTGGACCCTCACTATGATCCTGTGATCACATGAGACGAAGTGGCTGCAACCTTAATTGACAGGAAGAAAAAGAACACTTGGAGCATTTCCAGTTGCTAAAATGTCTGAGATGGTCTGTCTCAAAGGGCAATCATTTAATCAGGTTGATTGAAGGACTGGCCCTTTCAGCTGCTTAACCCGTTTGGCTGAATTATTTCAATTAAGTGGTTCTTTTTTTTTGGCAACAATTGGACTAGACTGAGCCCACAATCCCATGCAGATTTCATCAGGCCAGTGGTGCAAAGAGGTAGGTCCACGCTGGCCTGTGGGGAGCCTTCTCACTGAGCACCCAGGCCAAGTGTCCCAGACCTGCCATGGCGACCTAGTAGGCCTCAGCTTTCTCATTCTGAAGCCAAAATTGTAGGCCAAAAAGGCGAGGGACAATTATAAAGTCATTTTCAGGCCTTGCAAAGCCTAGAAAACCATTTTATTTAAAGTCATGAATAAAGCGCTTGTGAAAAGAACAATTCACTGCAGATATCTCTACCACCCACCATGAGGTCTCATTCTTACCCTGAGGTTCAGGACTCTGCTCACAAACCCTCTTTGTGTCCACAGTATTTAACCCCAATCAGGACCCATTTAGAAAGTTTCATGTGATTTTCCAAATGAAGATAAAAATCTAAAAATGTCCCTTTCTGATCCTCAAATCCACTGGAATGTATTTCATAAGGAGAGAGGTGCTGGTAGGTCCATCAAAATAAGCTTTTATCTTGATGGTTGTAAACTTGATTTGAATGAAAAATTGAGCAGGAGACTGGAACATCACATCACAAAGACAGCTTTGTTTTCAAAATGGAACGTCTTTATACATTTAGTCCTCAATGAAGACAAAATTACTGGCTCAAAAGTCTGCAGTTTTGCTATCGACCTAAGTTTTCCTGTTTGTAAACCAGGCACCAAGAAATGTAAGAACTGGATAATTCACAAACTAAGACTGCAAAGTAAGACAATGCTTTTAGTTAAGTATCCAGACCTCAAAATGCTGTTATAATGTTTCTAATCTTACAACATACAGGTTCCTACAAATTCACAGTCAGTCAATTGTGCAAATCAAATCATACAGGAAATCACTGTGGTGGGAACTTAGAAACTTTTTAAACCTTTTTAAAGCAAATAATTATCCTATGATCTACAAGTCTGAGTTTTTGCTTTTGAGTTATGTAAGACATAACTGCTATGAAGGAAAATGCATCTAGCTTAATTACAGTGAGTAACTGAAGACTCCCAACTATTGCAAGAGGTTTTCCTCCTGACATGTGTGACTAGGGTGAAAGTTGGTTTTATGAGAATCAGATCCAATTTTATTATTCAGGGAGGGTAACAAAGGGGACAGGGAGATGCTGAGCAGCACAAATCAGACACTTAGAACCTAATCCTCACGTGGGATGACAGAAGCATGAAACAGAAGCTAACGGTCCATTGTGAACTTGCTGTTGCCAACCCCAGGGCCTCCCTTGACTACCTGAAAGGGACACC